AGCTCACAAAATACCTCCACAACGCCCAAGGACTGTTACCAGTTAAGAAAGGAGACTTCTTCCCACTATTTTGGGAAGCCTGGACCTGCTCCTTTCAAGAAAAAACAATCCTGAGGTCTTTCCAAGCAACTGGAATAATACCTCTTAGCCTAGAGATTATACTTAAACGGTTCAAGAAATCAACACTAGAGCAAGAAGAGAGAGAGAACTCTAGCTCAGTCCTTAGTGGAGAGGATTGGCTCAAATTGCATAGCCTAATACGATCAGAAGTAAAGGACTAGAGTAGTAGAGAGGCTCAAAAGCTGAGCCGCTCACTCCACCATATATTAATCCAAAATGAGCTACTCCACATAGAAGTAGAAGGCTTATCAAAGGCTCTACTTTCTAAGAAGAAACACGAGAAGAAAAGCAAGCCCCTAGACCTACAGCAACGCCAGGAGTACCGTGGGGGCGCTGTATTCTGGTCCCCATCTAAAGTGAGGGAGGCCCAGTTCCGCCAAAGGATTAAAGACCAAGAAGCTGAGAAGCAACAACTTGAAAAAGCTCGTAAGAAGGCAGAAAAGGCCTCAAAAAAGGTACATCAACTTCAAGAGAAAGAAGAAAGAGCAAGGTTAAGGATTTAAAGGCGAGAAGAAAAGGAGAGGATTATGGCTGAGAAACAGGCTGCACGCCAACGTAAAGAAAAAGAGAAACAAAACACTAAAAAGCCTATATAAACTTCCCAAAAGGGAAAGAGGAAGGCTTTAGAGCCTGCTACAAAGCCTATACAGAAAAAACAGAGGCGTGAGGTGGTTGCAGAGGGTAGGGGAGGTGATCAGGGCCGTGATCCTTCATCTGTGAGAACTACGAGGGTTGGCAGGAACATCAAACTCCCACAGAAATTCAAGTAGTCCATCTTTTTCGCAGTAGTTTGTTTAGTATTTGGATGGATTATTAGAACAATTAAGCTATTGTGGGTGGCTCTATAACTCGATTTCTGCAACTCAGTGATTTGGTGATGGGCGCGCATCTGGCGAAACCGCGCATCGCGTGCACGGACACGGTAAGCGAGGCCGCGATTTCCGACAACTGATTGAATGACGGAACTCTGCACTCCGAGTTTACTTATGTAGCATGCCGTCTTGCGCTATCCATCGTCTGTTTCGCATGCTATTGAGAAATGGTAAAAGAAAAGAAACGCCGTAAAGAAAGCTTGGCGGCCAATTTACCCATGTCATCTTCCAAGCGACCTCGCTTTGACAAGCGCGGACGTCAGCTCAGTCGATTCTATGAGCCGCTTGTCCTACTATATACGCTTGGCCGAACGAGAGGAGAGCATATGCGAGACATCTTGTGCGATGGGACAAACATCTCGAACCTCCCACACAAATACCTGATTCGAAGGTTCCTCTGCAGCTTGGCGTATGTATGCGATTATGACAAAGGTGGCGATACTGTAACCGCTATCGGACTGGAGTCTAGGCCACACGGATACATTTTCTGGATAGCTTCGAACAGTAATCAGACAACCAAAACGGTGCCCTTCCTGATGTGGTTGTTGGGCCACATGTATCAGGTCTCAATTGAGGCGACCGCGATTGTTCCAGAACAAGTGGATGATCTGGGGGCAAAATGCATCGACTTCGCCGTTCCAAGGATTAAGGCATACAGAAATCATCTCAAACCAGTGCTGCGACGATGTCTAGGTCATCTTGACAACCAAAGTCACAACGGCAGTAAGTCCACTGCGCCAGCGATGCTCCAACAACTACTGAAGAGTACATCAGACGAAGCACATGGTCTCAGTGAATGGCTACAAAATTGGAACGATCAGAGGGGCTCCGAGGAGCTGTGTCACTTTTCTTATCAAGAGCGCAAATCAGAGTTCATGCAGCTTCTCGCAAAACTGGGAACCGAACCCAGCTACAAAAGCAACAAGGATGCAATCCATCATGCTTTTTCCTCAGCAAGACACCTCATCGGGAGACTTGGTCATCATTTCCGAGTAGCTAATGAGTTGCTTTTTTGTGCTTCAAGGTTGTCCGATATTCTCCACGGCTTCGAAGTGCGAAGCATTCCCATTCATACACGTTCAGCGATCCCTCCATCGGACGGAAAGACGACTTTGGACAGCGTGATTTCCCGCATGTTACCTTCCCAATCTGCCGACGTAGAAAGGTACCAATCGAACCTCGCAGAGATGGATGCGAAATATCAGCTTTCTCGTCGCTTCTTAGACAACTACCGTGACCCTGATCTAAATCCCCGCGTGCACGCTGAGATCCAGGTCCTGGAGCACTTCTACGTGGGTGGTCTGCGGTTTGTCGAGAGCGATGCATTCGTTGCCTGCAGCAAGCCAGCTTGCTTTTGCTGCTTATTGTATTTCCGAGCCCATCCTGGCCATTTCGTGGAGCCAACGTCACATCAGAAAATTTATCTAAATTGGAGGCCACCTGACCTCGACGCTCAGATGGCCATAATTAGGGAGAACCACCAAAGAGATATCTTAAATGCTATGACGAAATCAATTCGCAAGGAAGCTTTCAGGCAGATTAATGAGAAGATTCCACCACACGCCCGGCATCCTGAATCGTTGACCGGTATCACGGAGTCTGCATCCTCCCCAAGCACCCTCGAGCT